AGTATCCGTGCTTCATAGAACTTAATAGAGCGGCTCTTTACCACCAGCCGCTGCAGTTGGTTAGGGTCACGGCTGCTCTTATTTTTATTTTTTTTAAATAATTTTACTCGATAAGTAATTTGCATTACACAAAAAATAGGCGTAAATAGACTGTTACTAATAATGTCCCCACGCTGCTCTGCTAGGGTGAAAAGCATGATTAGTCAATATAGGTATCAATCAAACAAGTTCATAAATTATTGGATAACAATACTGTATTAAAATAAAAATTTTATACCATATTAAAAAAATATTATTAACAATATAGTTATATATTTTTCAAAATTAAATTATAATTCATTAAAATCTCGGGTTTGAATTTACAGTCAAACAAATTATGTTTATATTACAAAATCTTAGGTGCTATCGTAGCCATCTTTACTTTAAATTACTAGAAAGAAGGAACCAATCTGAATCACAACTAGTACTGTCAATCAAATCGAATTATTTGAACTTGATTCGAATTCGGCTTGTTTTTAACTTGTTCAAGCTTAACTTAGTTTTTTAAACGAACCAATGTTAAACAATTTTTCAAACTTATTTAGAAAACGAGTCTGATAGACTCAACTCATTTATGTAAAAATATTCGGACTCGATTTATTTTAGGTAGGTTCATAAATAAGTCGAACTTAAATAATTTTTTAAATTCAATTAAAAAATAAATTTTTTAGATTTTTTAAGCTTCAACCTCAACTTGTTCGACCAAGAAACCTAACCACAACCACTCAATATTGAAAGTGTTCAAGTACACTCCTGGTATGCATGCCAACTGACATTTCTCTGAAGCATGTGACTGTACTGTACTGTTTATATATGTTCTGTTTACAGTTAGGATTCTTAAAGCAGTTGTGTGATACATACATACATGTATCGTCATTGACCAGTAACCAGTTGAAGTCAGTGGCTGAGCAGTGATACATATAGATATATGGATGGTTGCTTTGTTTTAATGGGTCCAAGTTTAATGAAGTGAAATGGTTTAGTTTACTTACGAAAAAATGAACCTTTTCATGTTCTTAGAGAGTTCATGAATCCAGCACAAGGCTTATTTTTTATTCCTTTTTTTGGAACAGAGAACAAAGCTAATTCAGAGCAAAAAAATAAAAATAAAAAGTAAAAACCGTCACTTTCACAACCAAGGAGTAGCTCCCACAATTCCTGTTCAAATGGAGCTTTGCCCAAGATGAAAATGTGTCCATTGACCTCCTGGGAAATTTGTCTGTTTTACACATTCCTCAAATTCTTGTGGGCATGTATCTGGTTAATGTGCTAGGTGGTGATGCTGGTGGGTAGTACTGTTCACCTGGCCAACGGGTAGGAAATAGGCACGGAAGTCACATAGGAATGCAAAATATCTCACATATTTTTAGTTTTTATGTTATTAATTTTTGAATTATTTTAACAATTTAATTATCAATTTTTTGGGCAACTTTTACAATTAGGCTATTAAAATATAATATAAGAATATGTAAACCAGTACATTAAATTAATAACACTAAAAAAAACTATAAATATGATAATATGAGCATATAAAACACATCATTTTATACCAACTATATTATTTTTTAATTTATGTGGCGTGGGGGGTAGGAATGCGGAATTTTTATTTAGTATTCTTATTTGTGTTTTTGCATAATACTAAATTATTTTCCATTGGTGGGGCCAAAATTTGTAGAATTCCAATAATCAAGTAAGGTCGGGGTAGGAAAGATGTAAAATGGGTTGGGTGAACGGAATTTTAAACAACCCTATTGGTGGGAGAATTTTATACAAGAGATGTGAGTTAATATCATAATTTTGTGATAAAAGGTCTATATATATATATATATATATATATATATATATATATATGTATGTTTGAAACTCATATTCATCTAAGTTTATAAATAGGGAGCAATGCTAATAGAAATTAATTTATTGACTTAATTTTATTATTATTATTAGATTGCATCAGACATTTGAACTTAGTGTTAGTCCAATAGTTATAATAAAAACACGTTATTAGATCAACAAAATATGTCAAACTTTTAAATATCAATAACATTACTCTATCTATACTATATTAAGACACTTTCACTTTTCTTTTTTCAAATCTAATGTAAGATTCTAACACAAAAATACCCAACATTTTGTACTACATGGGATCAAATCTAAGTATACACATGCATATATGTGTTTATTTGTCCCTCGAAAATGCATAACAAAAGGATTATTATGAAGGTATATATATATTCTGGTCATTCTGTCAAAAGCATTTCCTGCATATTATGAAACTTCTGATGAACACCGCCTGTAAGAAAAGATCTACCTGCTGGAAAACAGGTGGATCTTAGTGGCCAACCCTAAACATTTTTTTGGCCTCATTCCTTTGTCTTAGAGCTAGTAAAGGTGGCGTTTGATCAGAGTTTGTTGCCTTGTGTATATTTTCACTCAATAGTAAATACTTGTAAAGTGTGAATTGTTGTCCAACTGCAACAAAAATTGAAGTTATGGATAAAAAGGAATACCCTCTTCCTTG